CGTAGAAATTCTACTTGTCAAGTAAGCAATGACTTGTCTTAACTTGTTATTGAAAATTGAAAAATGTTTGAAGCCTTGTCGGCTTATATAATTGTGGCCTAGTCGGCTAATATGATTGATTATTAGAGGATCAACAATTGCACAGGCACACATAATAACTATATTGAAAACTCTAATAGTGTGATGATTTGAGATACCTTGTAATTATTTTTTAAGTTAATCATTGGGCATCAGATATAGACTTATACACCATGCCTCCTAAATATGAGTCTGGTGCTTAAAAGAGAAAAATGAAATTTCATTAATCCAAAGTCAGGGGATATTGGCAAGTACTTTGAAAGCAACAATGTGAATACGTTAAATGAGGATGAAGTAGAGATTCAACCTGCACGTGTTAATGAAGTAGATGATAAGGATGAAGAAGTGAGTCAACCTGCCTACGTTAATGTAGTAGATGATCAGGAAGAAGAGGTGATGAAATCTGCATGTGTTAATGAAGTAGATGACAACGAAGAAGATGGTTGCTTTTCTCTAAATTTGGATGATCCTGAGAATTGAAAAATCATTTATTAGAGAACAAGGAATTACTTAGTTGAAAGGGGTCTAAAAAGAGTTGATGACATCTCGTTTCCGAAAGATTGTAGAAATAGGCATTTTGATTCTTCACAATATAAGCGATTGCTATGAAATGGGCAAACAATTGATAGAAGATGGCTACTATATTCAATATCTATGTATATGATCTTTTACTTTTGTTGCAAGTTGTTTAAAACACCCAAAAACGTTACCAAAGTTGGCCAACTTGGTAACAATGGATTCAAAGATTGACATAATTTGCATCGATCTATTAAAAGTCATGAAAGAAATGAAGAGCATTTATGTTGCATGACTAGTTGGATTGAATTGGAAAATAGGATTCGAACAAATACTACAATTGATAAAAGCGTTGAATTGTTGATCGACGCAGAAAGAGAACATTGGAGGCATGTCTTAATAAAGATAATCGCTATTGTAAAAAGACTCGCCAAAAACACCTTGCCATTTCTAGGAGATGATAAGAGGCTAAATGTTGAGAACAATGGTCTGTTTTTACAAATGGTGGAAATGGTTAGTGAATTTGATCCAATAATGAAAGAGCACCTTTGGCGGGCTAATGCAAAAGAGATTATCTTGGCAAAAAAATCCAAAATGAGTTGATACAGTTGTTAGCTAATGAGGTGAGAAGTACAATTATCAAGAAAGTTAAATATGCAAAATATTTCACAATTATGCTTGATTGTACTCCAGATGCAAGTTATGAGGAGCAGATGTTTTTAATAGTACGATTTGTAGATGATTCGGCAAACTTACCTACAGTTGAAGAATATTGACTTGAATTTTTGAAGGTAGATGATACAACAGGACTTGGACTTACAACCGAGCTTCAAAAGATTTTGATCAAACTGGATCTGGATATTGATGATATTAGAGGGCAAGAGTATGATAACGGATCTAACATGAGCGGGAAGCACAAAGGTGTGTAAAGAAGAGTACATGAAATGAATCCCTGAGCTTTCTATACTCCATGTGTGGGTCATAGTCTAAATCTAGCGTTGTGTGATATGGTGAATTATTGCTCCAAAGCTGTATCCTTCTTTGGAGTGATACAACGCATCTACATTTTGTTTTCATCTTCTACCAAGCGATGGTAATTTTTTAAAGATAATGTAAAAGGGTTGACAATGAAACTGTTGTTACAAACACGTTGGAAAAGTCATGTTGAGAGTGTGAAGCTTATAATGGAGCAAACTGCCCAGATAAGAGAAGCATTACTTGATTTGGCAGAAACTATCGAAGATCCTAAAGTAAAGAGTGAAGCAGAGTCGTTGGCAACACATGAATTTCAGAATTTTGAGTTCTTACTTGGCATGGTAATCTAGTACAAGTTGTTGCATGCAGTCAATATTGTGAGTAAATTTCTTCAAACCGAATCCATGGATATTGATCATGCTATCGACCTATTGCAAGGACTTGTTTCATTTCTTGAAAATTATAGAGAAATTGGATTTGTCATTGCCATGGATGAAGCGACAAAAAAGGCAAAAGAAATGGGAATTGAAACTGTATTTATAGAAAAACGTATAATTCGAAGAAAAATAATTTGATGAAAACTGTAGTAATGAGTTAAAGCAATAAGCAGAAGACTCATTTAGAGTTGAGTACTTTATTTTTATAATTGATCAATTCAAAAAATATGGTGATATATTTGAATTTTTGTTTAATTTGAAGAGGTTAAGGAGTGCAACTTTATCAAGTTTGTTGAACTCTTGTGTGAATCTTGAGAAATATCTTGAACATGATGGGCTTTCGGACATTAGTGGAGATGATTTATGTTCGGAGACAAGCCTTGAAGATTTATTTATCAAATGAAGTAAAAAGAGTAATTGAAGTGTTACACTATTTGAAGACATTGGATATTTGTTTCTCAAATGCTTATATTGTTTACAAAATTTTGTTAACCGTACCGATTACAGCTGTATCTGCGGAAAGAAGTTTCTTGAAATTGAAGTTGATCAAGACTTATCTTCGATCAACTATGTCACAAGAAAGATTAAACGGGTTGGCTATGTTATCAATAGAAAAAGAAATGGTTGAGCAACTAAGTTATTCAGATTTGATTAATATTTTTGCCCCTAAAACAGCAAGACAAATATTATTTAACTAATTGTTTGAAATTTTTGGTTTGATGGTTTATAATATAAATTGTTTCTATGATATATTTCGTTGTTGTTTTAATGTTAGTTTTTTAAGTTAGCAATGAGTCGCATAATACACTTTTGAATTTTGTCATTGGGGGCTTAATTTTCATCGTTCGCCTCAGGGCCCATCAGATACAGGACCAGCTCTGATCCCCACCACCGGCTGCCACCGCCCTGAAAATCAGAGAGACCTATTTCAATTTTGCCCACAAAATCAACATAAAGAATAAATGTGTTTTAACCAAATACCCACTGCGTCACGGATAAACTCGTACTGGGTCAAGACTTTGACTAGGATGCCCATGGAAGCTGTGTAGTGTCTGTCGCCCATGATCGCAACTCGATTTAGCCCCTCTCTGGCTGCCTGTTAGCCCTTGACCTGACGCCAGTGTGGGGACTAGAAATTGAAGATAGAAAATTAACTTATCAACTAAGTTCATCGGGTAATTTTGGCTTGGACACTGGGATGTTAGATTCGTGGATTTCTAAGGATGAGGCTATACCCAGTTCGATGATGTCGCAAAAGCTGATGGTGCCTAATGACAATTCTATATTTTACCCTGATTATTTTGGGGATGGATTGGTTGCAAAGAAGAGGATTCCAACCTGCGAGAAGCATAAGCAGGTGATTTTGAAGCAAATAAACGATTTGTATAAAAGGGGATTGCCTGATAGTTGCGACAACAATGGCCGTGGCGGTGGTCGAGAGGAGGCGGTGCTTGGGACACCGAGTGGAAGTGAGAGTAGTATTTGGATTTGGATTTGATTTGCTTTTTGTTTTGTTTTTTTTTATAATTGTTGATGTAATACGAGAAATGTGTTTTGACCAAATTATCCTAGCCTTATTTTGGGGAAATTATAAAAAAAATTCATTACTAGGGTCAATTAACAGTTCTGGTGGTCAAACAAACGAAAATCGTCATTTTGGATGGACTTGGGAATTTTTTAAAGGTTAGGGATACTCGATGGCACAAATGAAAGGTTTGGATTAAATCTGATAATAAACGAAAAGTATGATACTTTAGCTGCAATTTTTCCCTACAAATATTACAGGCTACTAGAGCTTTTCGGAATAAACCTTTAAAGAATAAAAAAAATGTTAGATATTTTTATTATTTCTAAAATATAATAAATGATTTATAAGCAGAATTTATAATTACCATAATACATATGGATCACTATAATTTAAACAAACTCATTATTCATGAATCGACCCAAATGAGGTCGAACTGATTTAAACTCTAATTTAGTTCATGTTTGATTTTCATTATTTCATCAACATAATTTATTATTTGTCATTCTTTATTTTACATTTTTCTCATTATTATTTTACAGTACTCATTTTTAAATACACATTTTTCATTAAAATAATATTACACATAAATAAAAAAATTCCTTGTTTTTTTAATCACACATTTTTTATCAATAACTATTCCATAATACATTTTTTCAAACTAATGGGAATCAAACAATGCCTAAATTTTGTACTAATAAATTTTTGGAGAATGAGTGGTTAAAATTAAGTATGAAAAAAATCTTGAATTTATGTGTTAAATATTTTATTATGAAAATATTTTAGGCCTTGTTTGATTACACTATATTTTCCATGGAATTTGGAATTCGAATTCTAACTTCCACTTTTGGCCTGTTTGATTAATAAAATTTTCCAGGAAATTGATTTTCCACGATTTTCTAGGTACAAGTCGGTAAAGCATGAAATTCCACCTTTTATTTTCTCATGGGGTAGGTGGTTTTTGGAATTCCACCTTTTTTTTAAAATTGTTAGCAATGTGAACAAATTCTAGGAACAATTGTAAAAGAGGATAACCCTTAAATTGACAATTTTCATATAAAAAAAACTCAAACGAACATCAAAATATAGATGATTTTTGAATTTTTTTTTTGATTGACAATGAAAACAAATTCTAGAAATAATGGTAGAAGTGGATATTCCTTAAATTGACAATTTTCATGAAAAACAAAGTCAAACGAACACCAAAAGATACTTTTATTTCAACATTTTTCACCTAAAAATTTATACCAATCAAATATTATCAATTGACAATTTCTAGTAAAATAATTTCTAGGCATTCAATTATTTGGAATTCATTTTCTATCCATTGTAATTGAAAATGAATTTGAGAAAATTGAATTTCGAAAGAAATAATGGGAATCGACTTCACGTTCAATTTCTGTCCGCATTTTATCTCCGCAGCCCTTTAGCTTTGACGTAAATTCATTTTCGAGCACAAAATCCGACAGTACATTATTTTATCACGCCACCGCTTTATCCCCTTCTTCTCGTGCTCCTCTCTCTCTCTCTCTCTCTCTCTCTCTCTATCTGTATCTACACATTAGCTTCATTTCGAGCAACAATTTCAACCCCATGATAAAATCCCAACAACTATTCTCTTAAATCATGTTATAAAAGACCTATTAAATCATATCCGATTCAGTCCAAACTGTTTTCTTCTTGTATTTGCGAGGATGACGAGGAAGTGTTCGCATTGCAGCCACAACGGGCACAATTCTCGGACGTGTCCCAATCGAGGGGTGAAGCTGTTTGGAGTCCGATTGACTGATGAGTCGATCCGAAAGAGTGCGAGTATGGGGAACTTGACCCATTATATGAATGGTGGAACTGGGACTCCCCAAAACGGCGTTGCTCAAGATTCTACGGGCGAAACCCCAGATCACGCCTCCGGCGCTGCTGACGGCTATGCCTCCGATGACTTCGTTGCTGGGTCATCTTCCAGCCGAGAAAGGAAGAAAGGTTTAAATTCGAAGTCTTTTTCCCCTTAATTTTGTTTGTGTGGAAGTATGTAACTTTTTCGGAATAAACTTTTTTGTGATTATGTAAATGCTATATTTTGAGGGATACGTGGGGGAATGGTTGTTATTAATTAAAGTTCGGAATAAAATTGTTTCAGCACAAAAATTGGATTTCTGAAGAAATAGTTTATGCACAGAAAGGGGTATAAGGCTGCATTTGGTCATGCCTGCCTCCGTGTTTCCCATATGTAAATCTTTTTTTATGAAATAAGATGAGAATCTTTTTACCGAGATAGATCTACTATTTTTTTTTTAAAATAGTGGATCATTTGCATATCCAGATGCACATGCTGTTTTAAAAGTGTATTTGAACGTGTGAAACTGAACATTTTGTTGGAAATCTTTTGACGAATTAATGAAAGAACTGCTTGAACGAATTATTATTATTTCCTTTTGATCGAAGTTTATAATGTATTGCACTTACATGTACGTATCCAGCATCTGCTTTTGATTACAGGGAGATGGAAAGAAATATAAAAGAGTGAAAGGTTTTAGTTGAAAGTTATATGATCAATTTAGGATTTTTGGCCATATTGACACTGGACAGATGACCTTTTCTTTGGAGAAACAAAAACAAGAATACAAGATAGAAAACAGGCCAGTAGTTTGGTCATTGCATAATGTGAATTATCAGTAGATTTCTTATCTGTTTTGGTAGAAAACTAGAAATTTAAGAAGTGATAGACAAAGGCAGAGATATACGTGCACATACTATCTCCTGTGAATGGTTTGATTGAACATTACTTTCTGAGCTGGTTAACTAGAAATGTTTATATACAGTCACAAGCCATTGATTGACTGAAGTTAGCGGTATAAATCTTTTGCTTTATATACAATTTATCCGTTCTTCTTCTTCTTCATGCTGAATGCCTTCATGATTTTTTCTTGGTGGTTGTGAACAATATGTACAGTACTTGAATTTAATATCTGTAAATTCTGTGATTTTGATTTAACCAAATGAATAGGAACTTGGGAGACCGATAGTGGAGGTATACTAATCTGAAATGAGCTCTCAGAAAATGGATTTATTTTGTTGTAAAATTGAAAATCGTTTATAGAAATGTCAGCAGACCAACAGTGGAGTGAGTTATATATTTTATTGAGTATCTCAAGGCATGAAATATTGTAGAAGATCTTTATTATTTGCTTGCTAAGGCCTGATGGTTACTGAAAATTGGCTTTGCCTGCTAGTGTTATTGTTTGAAAATTTTTTCATAGGCTAAATAATGTAATTTTCACCCGTGAGGTTACTTTTGATGTATTGTCAAGCTTAGCCCTTGTTTGATTCCCATTTTGGGGTGAAGAATGCATTTTGAATTGTAGATTGATGTAGAATGTGTGGTTAAAAATTAAAGAAAAGTTTTGGTTTGCGTGTAATATTATTTTATTGAAGAATGTGTGGTTGAAAATGAGTTTTGAAAAAATGATTTTTTAAAAGAATTGGGCTCAAACAAGGGCTTAATATTGTTTTAAGTATTGGTATGTATGTTATTGAACATGCCTGTAAAATCGCTTTTTGGGCATCACTTGTTTGACATGCCATGCATGTCATCTCTGAAAATTCAGTTATTTTATTTTCAGGCATTCCATGGACTGAAGAGGAACATAGGATGTTTTTGCTTGGTTTGCAAAAGCTTGGCAAAGGTGATTGGCGAGGAATTGCACGAAATTTTGTTATCTCTAGATCGCCTACCCAGGTGGCTAGCCATGCCCAGAAATATTTTGTCAGGCAATGTAGTGTTTCTAGAAGAAAAAGACGTACCAGCCTCTTTGATATTGTGGTAGATGAAGTAAGCGCTCTCTTTTTCCCTGTGTAAAATGATTATGCTACCTAGCCATTTGGCATATCATTACTTAATCTGTGGTACAACAGAAACTTTACAGCAACAGATAAGGTTTCCGAATGAGTTGTGTCTATTTGTTTCTAACATGGGCAAATGTAATTGGAAATTACCCCTCCTATATAAGTGTAAACAACGTAAATGGGAATGTTCAAATAAGATAAAACACAGTTGTGATCTGGTTGGCCCTTCTGCTTGGAGAATTAAAATGTCTAAAATATCTAGTACTTGATTGCAATATGATATTCTATATGCTGTGAGCTGCTTCAGTCATTAACAGTACGCACTTTCACTTTATAGATGTTATCATTTTCCTTGTATTTTTGCAGTCGGTTGACACTCCAGTGATATCAAGAGATATTTCTGCAGTGGTGCCCCCAGAAGCTGAGATGCAGAGCAGCACCCACCCACCTCCTCCCGCTGCAGATGAAGAATGTGAATCGATGGAGTGTGCAAATTCCAATGACGGTGAAACCATGCTTCCTAAGTCAGTGGGCTCACAATACACTTACCCAGTTGTTTGTCCAGCTTATGTCGCTCCGTATTTTCCTCTGTCCTTTCCCTTTTTGCCGGGCTACAGTATGGAGCCAGTGAAGGAAGAAACCCATGAAGTGGTTAAGCCAACAGCTGTTCATTCAAAGAGCCTCATTAATGTTGATGAGCTGATAGGTATGTCAAAACTAAGCATAGGGGAATCCCTTGGTGATGCGGGAAAATCTACCCTCTCTCTTAAATTGGTTGAAGGCTCTACAAGGCCTTCTGCCTTCCATGCAAATCATGCTTCGGGAGGGTCACGCATGAACTCGAGCCACAGTCCTATCCGTGCTGTTTAAAAAGAAAAAAAAAATGCATTATCATCCAGAGTGCTCAAGAGATCTCCTGTTAATAGAAAGACAATAGAGTATAGAGCTTTGGGGTAAGTTACAGTTTTTATCTGTATAGTGTGTTTATAAATTTTGGATTTGGATATAATGTTCGTAAGTGGCAAAAACCTCTTGGTCGAACAATTCCTGCTTCCTAGCTTGATTTTCTGTTATATTCTACTTCTGAGATATTTATTCTGTGCATAGTTGGAGATCAAAATTTTATGATCACGACCTTTACTTCTAAGCTATCCTCTATGACAATTCATTAAAGATACTACATTAGGCATTCATTTAAAAAAAAAAAAAAATATTGCTGCATATTATTGCACAGTTGAGAGCAGTACAATTAGCGAACCGAAAGACTCGGCAGTACATTACGATCTGCTTCGTTTTGCTTCTATCCTGTTAGCGTCCTTTTACAAGTAACTGCTGGAAAAACTTACATATCCCTTTCCCAGCCTGTTCTTGAGGTCGACAAATTGATAACTCTTCGGCTCCTTTTCCGTGGAATTGTGATCTTGGTAAGAAATGGGTAATTTGCTGTATTTGTTAGGACCTTTAAGCTGGCTCATGCATTAACCCAAGTTGGGTATAGCTGCCCACTTATAGGAGGAAAACTAGACTTGACGATACATTTTGGCCTATTAGGTTTTTACAATTGGTGTGATGCCACGCATGAAAGAAGCATTGTAAATTGTTTGTTGATTAGTAGAACTCTCAAAGATATGCTTTGGGGATTTGATTTAGGAGTATGACTTCAAGATTATACTCACTGCAATTCTTGATGAGCAATATTTTTATCTAAAGTGTATTGTTTGAAGCATCATAACATGTTATGATTGATTTATGTCTAGACGTTTCTCCCATGAATTGTTCGTGATAATTCATAGTTTGAAGCTAAATGATCAAGTATTGACACAATCCCATCTTTGGGATAGGAGTCGTCATCGTGAGGACAAGAACAAGAACGAGAGAGCGAGGACGATATTTCTTATATGCACACGTGGTGAAGCTTTATGCTTAATTCCTAATTCAGTTTTTCTTGAACTGATTCCCAACCCTCAATCTTCTTAACAAATTATTTACCAAATATTGTTTGGGTAAATATATTACAATTAATGATCGTTAAAGCAAATAATACACCAATTTTATTAAAAATAAATAAATAAATAGAATGTAAGAGTGTAAATGATTAATTTCTTGTTTGGAAAAAAATAAAAATTCACTCTTGAGAAGAAAATATTTTTCTTAAAAACAAGAACAATTAGGCACATTTTCAAAAATTAGAAACTATTTTCAATAAAAATAAAAAATCAATCAAACACTTCAAAGTGAAATTTTTGAATGAAAAACTGATATTTTTCGTGAAAAATAAATGCAATTAAATACAACCTAGGACTTGAAATGCGGCCACGTCTTCAGCGAGTCTCTATCCAATCATTCCAATGGCACATTGCAATGTCATTGAATCAAACTCATCGGATTGACAAAATTGCCACGGACTTAAATCTTGAAGGATATATTGCATCTGCGGTTCCCACCCTATTGAAAATGAAACAAGTAGGTCTTCGATCTATATTTTTGGCTCAGTATCCAACCCTTTCAGTTTTCAAATATTTGAACCCCCTTGATTTTACCTTATGTTTAAATAGTAAATCAATTTTGTTAAATTTATGACTCTAATCTTATTTTTAATTTTACAAAAAATTATTATATATGAACAAAAATTAAAATTAAACTGGCCTAGCCTTCCATAGTCACCCACTCACCCCCACCTTTCAGTAACTTATATATAATTTTTATTTTTATTTCGTCTTTATATATAGTAAACGATAAAGGTAAAATATCTTTTTAATTAAAAATGTGAGTTTTAATCAAAGAAACAAAATTATGTTTTGGGGATTCGAGTGCCACAAAATAAAAAGGAGGAGACTTCATCCCGTAAACCAATAGGTTGAGGATCTACTTGATAAATTCCAATAGATTGAGGACCTAAACTGTAGTTTCCTGAAAATTGAAAATAAATCAGCGTAACATAGATGAAAATGCAGTAGAACAAAACCCTGCATAATAATGGTTATTTGATTTTTAGTTCTGCGATCTGCTAAGAATTCCGAGCTACGACTTCTACCTTTCTATGGCCGCTCCATTCTTTTCTACACATTTTCAACCTTTTGTTTATCAGGTAATCGATATATATAATATTGAATTTAGGATTTTAAATTTAGGATTATTATTGCGTTTGCAGTCAATAATTGTTGTTCCTTGTTTATTCAATGTTGTTGATCAAATGTGTGGTAAAATTGTAAGTGGTGAAATGAATTTACTGTTTTCTAGTCAGGGCTGTAAAGAATCAATTTTATAATTGTCGTCGTGTTTGAACTATGATGAGAACTCGTGAATGCTCTAGTTTATGGGCTGTGATCATTGCGTGCCTGAACTCAAACCTTTTTGAACTGTGGTTGAACTTTAACTTGCTCATGTGCCTGAATTTTGAATTTTCTAATTCCAATGCAACTCTTGCTCAAGAATACAAGTAATACGCGAGTTAGGCAAATATGAATTCCAGATTTTTGCCTTGTAATTTTTTACTTGCAAACTATGCATGAGGGAAGTTCAGGCCTCTTTGGAGGCATTTTAGTGCTATCCCAAAAGTTAAGAAACAAAGATTAGAAGGCGGCCTTGATTGTATATATAGTCTCCTTCTCTGATGCCTTTATATAGAAAGAGTTGTAACAACCTTCTCCAATACAATGAATCCACCTGAGAGGATAAGCAATATAATAGAAATAGCCTAACCACCTGAAGAAGATGACAAAATAGGAAGCCGTGTTATCTATACAGCAAAATAGTTTAGCAACTTTATTAACTATAAAGTCAATTAGTATCATCTTAACTTGCTAGTTGCTACTATTTCTGAGTTTACTGTCATGATTGTTCAAGGAGGTGTATATTGAATACTTTGTCTAATTTTATGCCCAAATGAGAGTAAGGCGCACTATTGTCACACAAACACTATTTGGAGTTCTAGTGGAAATTTTGAAAAAATTCAAACCAATATTTTACCAGCTTAATTAATTATAAGCCAGACCAGCTGTTTTAGCAATTACCACTAACTGATGTGAAGAGGAAGTAAGAGAAGAAGGAGACGAGTACATGAAATTTTTATTCCATAGGGCTACTGAGTAATTGTAATTTGCCATAATTTCTCACTATAGCATTCATTATGAAAATCAAGGAATGACAATAGGTCTCGCTAGTTGCTAATGTTACTAAATACTAAGTGAGCGTTTGTCATGTTTGTTCAACAATATGTAATATTCAGCACTGTCTAATTTATGCATAAATGAGACTAATGCGTATAATTGCATCACTAACACTATTTGGGGCTTTAGTGGAAATTCAGAAAAAAAAATTACTTGTCTGGGATTTAGATCCATAAATCTATGAACTTCAAGTTGTTTCTATCCTTTAATTGGCACCCAGCTTGTGAGAAGTTCAAATGTTTTGTCTAACCTGCATAACATTTAATATAAGAATAAATTAAAACCGTTTTGCTTTATATGGAATTTAATAGAAGAAGCATTTCTTTGTTTATTCTTACCTTAATTCTGTAATCATCTCCATGAGCAGTTTCTTTTTCTTTTCTGGAGTGGTTATCATCACTTGTAATTGTTTATGAAAATTATTTTATAGAGCCCACAAGACGCTGTTACACCTTTTCAGATCTTGGGCAGTGAAGCTCAGATAGTTCAGGTACTTACGAGTATTTTCTTTCTTGTTGCTGGAGGAAATTCTATTTTCTATCTAATTAAGGCTTCTTCCTCATTTTTTCTTCTCATTAGCTAATGTTGAAGCCTCAAGAGAAGGTGATTGGAAAGCCTGGTACGATAATTTTATTTGTTTCCTAATATGCAACCATTGGAATGATTGAAGCTTTCCCTTGATTCGTATGCTGATGCTCTATAGTTTTAGTTATCTAAAATTTCTAAAATTTCAACTCTGTGATTAGACATACTTATTTCTTTTGACTATGAAATACTATGAGCAGGTGGATGCCAATGAATCTTTTCGAGATATATGTAACGCCCCGACCCCTAGTGTATCGGAACGCTACTTACTTTACTTAGCTTAACTGGTGGTTTAGTAATAAGTGTATACGTTTTAGCGGAAGCTTATATCTTCGGATAATAATTTAAATAACAATACTTCAAATACTTTAAACAAAAACACTGAATCACTTTTCAAAACAACAAAATGTAATTTATTTGACGAAAACATAACTTGTTCTCGCATTCTGTGTTATTCAAAACTTTAAAGAAATAACAATGGAAAACATTTCATAAAAATAAATTCAAATCACTTATTCACCGGATTTTCATGGGCTCGTTGCATCACTCTCCATCTTCTCCTCCATCCATGCCTGAGGTAGAATTCCTTCAATCTGTAGAGATGGAATTAAACCCGTGAGTTGAAAAACCCAATAGGTGTCATAGGTGCATTCGTGATCAAGCTATACATTTCAAAATATTAACTTTAGAACTTTTCATACATGCCGTACCCGGAGGCACCATTTGACATACGAACATTTCTTCAACATAGAGGGGTATGCCGTACCGGAGTACCATTTGACATACAACCATTAACATAGAGTGATATGCCGTACCGGAGTACCATTTGACATACAAACATTAACATGAATTGAAACTTATAACTTAACATGATTAAACACATTGCTCTTCTACCTACCTTGATTGATGCTTTTGAAACTTTGAAAACTTGGATTGAAATTTTCGATTAAACTTGGACGTTGAAAGAAATGTACTCCTTGAATGTTTGAAAGCCGTTGAGAATTGATGCTTGAAAACACTTCTTAAACTTTTAGGAAAAATAGCTTTCCTCCCTCTCTTTTTCTCTCTTGGAAACTCTTTTTTTTAGTGTGTAAAAGCTCTTGCTTTTGGTGTGTGAAAAAATGAGTGAAATGAGGTCTCTATTTATAGGTAAATATTTCATAACTTAAAGCAAATGATGGGTCAAATTTCATTTAAAAGAGAAAACATGAGTGCCATTTAAGTTTGAGGTTAAATGTTTTAATTTAGTGGGGTTTTTATTGTCAAAAACGTGGGTGGCCCTTTGAGAAAATAATTAATGAAAATAAATATTTAAATTTTAGAAAAAAACGAGAATTTTCATTTCAGACAGTCTTGGTCGACCGGTTGTAGTCCAGTTGACACTGCACAACTTTTAGTGTTTCTATCGTAACTTCTTCTCCCGACATCCGATTGAGATAATTCAAAGTGCATTGGAAAGCTAACTCAAAGAGCTAAACTTTTATTTAGATATCATTTTCCAAATCGAACGTTTCCTATGTCGAAAATAGGTCTCAAATGAGAATAAAAATCTGAAGTATACTTTAGTTACCCAATATTCATATTTTAGTGCCACTAAGGTGTCTAGAATTATTTGGGGTTCTACAATTTACCCACTCTGAGAATGACTATTTGATGAAGATTGAGTTTTTAATTATCTTTTAGTTATTTTTTCTTTATTAAATAAATTCGAATTTTAATTCTGTTTATTTAGGATTAATTTTGAATATTAGGTCTTTTAATTTTAATCATTATCTATTAGTCATAGTAATTAACTAGATTTTTGTAATTATATATATTCTAGTTATTTCTTTAAATAAGGTTGTAAGCCATCATGACATTGAGGTTGTTTTGGAATAAATATTATAAACTTTGGAGTTTTTCAATTTCTTAAATTTTCGGGATTTGATATTAAAAAATCAACAAGTCCAAATTCTGTGTATTCTTGCGTGAATCAAAGTGTTTTTTATATCTATATTCTTAGGAATCAATAGAAATTAGAAGATGATCGTGTTGCGGCATTCCTTTAGAATCAACGGTATGCTGAATCTCTGTCTGGATTCTTAATGACAACTCACAGTGGCTAAGTTTCGTTTTGGATTTCTTTCTTTTCATGACCATAACAGATCAGCTCATTCACCTGTTTATGAATAACAGGAACAAGAGATGGGCTCTATTCAATTAAATTAAACCCACAATAAACTATTCTGTTTGTACAAATAAAAATGTAGGGAAGAGGATAAAATAAGAATTTGTACACCTTGAGTACGAGATGTTAAGTTCAGGAAAAAAGTGTGCATCCAAACAGATTCAACAATGATAAAATAGAAGTTATTTTGCTAAGATGGATCATGATAATTGGAATTGATTTTAATATTAAGTATCCCATGCAAACCTTAGCTTTTATTTACAAGACAGCATGCTTTTTTATTGTTCTTCACTGTAATTCAGAAATTGATTCACAGAAGGGGGAACATGGATGGTTTCAGTTAAAGTATGTGTTGCACTTGTAATATGAGGACAGGATAATGAAATCTTAGAATGGGTTGGGGGTGAAACTATATCAAATGGATGAATATTCGATTTTTTGAGGGATGAGAACCAGATCCTCAAGTCTAAGTTGTTTTGGGGGTAATGTGGCATTGGTTTCCTGGTCAATACGGTATGATCAGATTAGCTATTAAATTTTCCTTGTTACCATTTTTATTCAGTATGGTCATACCGTATTGTACATTCGTCAAATTTATGAATTAATAGAAAATATTGACATCTCATATGTAACATATATTCTTGATTATTTCTAACAACTTAAGCTTTTAAATCAAGCGATTTAATAGGGTAACAAAGCAAAGATCTTAGGTTCTAGTTTCACCTCACCCATTTCATTTAATTGTGTACGTGTTTGGCTCCGGCAGAATGGAAGGCATTGTGGAAGTTGAAGGTTCAAGAAAGATGACGGTTCTTGCTATGGAAAGTGGTGTGGCAGATTCCTCCCACTCGAGCCAGATTGGGGAAAAATGAACCTAGCGCATGTTGAAGAAAATATATCAATTATATACACATGCATTCATTTAAGCTTTTAGATTAAGTGGTTTAACAAATCCGTTTGCCTCCCAATCTTTAAATCTTCTGTATAAATGTTCACATTTTCATTAGAAATACATTAGGTGTCTTAAGAAGAGGGGCATATCGTTATAATCCACTTGAGATTAATAAATTTCCATTTTTAGTTTTTTACTTATTTGAAAAATATATGGAATTTTATGATGAACATTCTTATAAACCTTTTTCTACTATCACATCATTTTGAACATTCTGTAAATCAAAGGCTGATAGTGAAAAAGGGTTGGATGGAATCATAGATATTAAGATATCCTTAGAAGTGGATGAATCTTATGCACATAAAGCACAATAGCTGAAGAAAGAGTCTCTGTAAATGCATTAGGTGCCTTAAGTAGAAGGGCATATCATTATAATCCATTTGAGATTAATAAATTTCCATTTTGAGTTTTTAACTTATCTGAAAAATATATGGAATTTTAAGATGAACATTCTTATAAACCTTTTTCTACTACCACATCATTTTGAACATTCTGTAAATCAAAGGCTGATAGTGAAATAGGGTTGGATGGAATCATAGATATTAAGATATCCTTAGAAGTGGATGAATCTTATGCTCATAAAGCACAATAGCTGAAGAAAGAGTCTCTGTAAATGCATTAGGTGCCTTAAGTGGAAGGGCATATCATTATAATCCATTTGAGATTAATAAATTTCCATTTTGAGTTTTTAACTTATCTGAAAAATATATGGAATTTTATGATGAACATTCTTATAAACCTTTTTCTACTACCACATCATTTTGAACATTCTATAAATCAAAGGCTGATAATGAAATAGGGTTGGATGGAATCATAGAAATTAAGATATCCTTAGAAGCGGATGAATCTTATGCTCATAAAGCACAATGGCTGAAGAAAGAGTCTCTGTACTTTGTCTTATTCAGGAAGCTTGTCTAATCCAAGCTCTGTTGAATTTTAATTTAAGGATGAATAAGCTTTTAGGTGATTTAAATATGGTTAGTTCTTATGCTTTCACATAATTGTCTGTAGTTACCTACATTTGTTTTTCCACCTTTCAATTCTCGATTGTTTTTCTATTCACCCCTTTTATGTGCCTTCTGTGTCTGGATTTTTGCCAGGTACCATGTGCTATATGTCTGGGTCTGTCCAAATGGAAAATGTTTATGCACCTGAAAATGAAGCAGGTGTGTTGCAGTGGATTTTCGGAAAAAGTGTGACGAGCATAGTTCTCCATAATAAAGGTTCAGCTGATGGATTTGTCAGAATTGCTGCACCGTCTCTAGCAAGAATTATTCCAGATTGCATCATTATTCAGATATTGGTTCACTATGCAATTACATAAAGTATGATTAGATCTTATGAAAATGTTTCCTGTTTAATGTTACTGATCTACATTTCTTGTGCAGATTGACTTGGCAATTTTTGGCGGCGAAATGTTGTGCCAGGTATCAATCATTGGCGATCAAATTGTTCTGTATTTTGCTCAAAGTTTTGGTTCGATTTTATATTACGCCTTCCCCCACCCCCCAACTTTTCCTAGTTAACTGTCATTTTGATTGGAGTATGATTGTTAATATTGTTTTGTAGCCAGATGTATTTCTTTGTTCAATTAATGATGTCAAAATCAATAATACAGTTGATCCTAGGGCACGCAATGCTATTGCTAGTGCTGAGGTGGGAGGACAAGATTATTTGCTTTTTGTCCTTTACCCTATCATGAATATGGTTGTAAAAGTGAAATAGTTGATAATTAAGTCAGTTATATCTGCAGGGATTTTTGAGGCAGAAGATATCTGGTCAAGGACTTGCAATTTTAGTTGGGGGTGGTTCTGGTCTGTTTCATTAAATTGCTGTCACTGCTGTAAAATACTTTTTGGCTTTTGAGTAGAGCATTTGACATGGATATTAGGATGATGAAATATTGCATATTAAGCATATTAAGAGAACTTTGCTTGTAATTAGTGACAGGGTACATGATTGTGAGTTATACTTCCTTCTAAAAAGAATGTTACTAATTTAAACAAAAGAATGATTTCTCCTTCTGAATTCCTAAATGTATACACTGCGAGGCTAAACCCTCAAAGACAATAGATCTATCTTTGGATCTTTTCATGTAATTAAATAAGTTTAAGAGTTCTTCATACTCTTAAACCTTCTTATTAAATAAAACTTTCATGTTTTAGTCAATTCTTCATACATTTTCAGTTCTATATACAAATCATGTACGGACCTTTATAGAATTAATGGGATTAAAGTACCGTCAGGCAGTAGGCCGTCAAGGGAAGACAATCCAAAAAGATTCAACAAAGTGAGGCAAAGGAGTATACAGACAAAAAACGTAAGAAGAAGCCATCAATCTATACATACTGTAAGAAGGTTATGAGTTTTAGAATTTCTTTAAATTTGTTTAAAGCATGATTTCCATATGGATTCTACTGCTTACATAAAAATTTATATACTTTTCTTTAGATTATATACAATTTCATTATTATGGTTTTCTTCTTCCATAATTAATGATGACATTCAATATAATGTAGAATAAAAATTCTAACACTATATGTATAGTTTTGTAAAGCATCAAACGTGGAAAAGCTAGAATGGTTGTAGATTATTCTCAACTAAATAAAATAACTAAGACTGATGGATATTTAATTCCAAATATGCAAAGTCTTTTACAATTAATAAAAGGAAAGAAAATTTTTTCATCCTTTGATTGTAAATTAGGTTTTTGGCAAGTTATACTTGACCGAGAAGCTAAACATCTTATAGCTTTTAGTTGTCCACAAGGGCACTATCAATGGAAAGTAGTACCATTTGGCTTAAAACAAGCACCTGGTATCTTCTGTGTTCATATTGATGACATCTTAGTATTTTCAGATACTGAAGATGAATATGAAAATCATGTAATTATTGTTTTCCAAGAGGCAATAAATGTAGGAATTGTGCTATCTGAAAAGAAAGCAGAATTATTTAAAGAAAAAATTGGATATTTAGGTTTAGATATAGCCAATGGTTATGAACAACTTAAACCTCATATTCTAATTCATATTAATGAATTTCCAAATGAAATTCAAGATAAAAAAACAATTGATTAGATTTTTTGGATGTCTCACTTATGCAGAATCTTTTATTAAAGATTTGGGAAAAATGAGGACACCATTACAAAAGAAATTGAAAAAAGATTTTAAATGGATTTGGACTAAAGCGGATACTCTTTATGTTGGAAAAATCAAATCTAAAATAAAAATTTTACCATCATTATATCATCCAAAAGAAGGAGATAAAATGATAATTGAAACAGATGTATCCCAAGAACATTGGGGAGCAGTTCTAAAAGCTATTGATTTTCAAGATCAATCAGAAGAAAAATTATATGGATATACTTCTGGAACTTTTTCTAAAGCAGAAAGAAATTATCACATAAATGAAAAAGAAATTTTAGCTATGAAAAAGGCTATAACAAAGTTTAGACTTTATATAATTTCTGATAATTTTATTATTAGAACTGATTCAAGTACTTGTAATTCTTTTATGAAGAATAAGGTACATCCAGACTACAAACAAGGAAGATTGATCAGATGGCAGATGTGATTCAACCATTATGATTTCAAAATTGAAATCATTAAAGGGAAAAATAATTCTTTAGCTGATTCATTAACTAGAGAATTTGCATTCACAGGTAAAAATGACCAATATTGAAGAACAAATTGAAGAATTTCAAATGCAAATTGAGATGGAAGAAATTGAAATCTCAACAAGACAATAAGAGATAACAGTTTTGAAAAAGAAGTTAGAAAGACTTCTCGAAACATATGCTATTTCAACAGGGGAGAATTCTGCTCAAAAACCCCACAAAGAAACGAATAATAGCAGGAAAAAATCTTTCCAATCTACTATAAAAGGAGGACTTGAAGAAGAAGAAAGAAGGAGAAATTTTTAGAGAAAAATTTTCTTATTCTGAATTCCTAAATGTATACACTGCGAGGCTAAACCCTCAAAGACAATAGATCCATCTTTGGATCTTTTCATGTAATTAAATAAGTTTAAGAGTTCTTCTTACTCTTAAATCTTCTTATTGAATAAAACTTTCATGTTTTAGTCAATTCTTCATACATTTTCAGTTCTATATGCAAACTATGCACGGATCTTTACAGAATTAATGGGATTAAAGTGCCGTCAGACAGGAAGCTGTCAATGGAAGACAATCCAAAAGAATTCAACAAAGTGAGACAAAGGAGTATGCAGACAAAAAAACGTAAGAAGAAGCCATCAATCTATACATATTGTAAGAAGGTTATACGTTTTAGAATTTCTTTAAATTTATTTAAAGCATCATTTTCATATGGATTCTACTGCCTACATAAAAATTTATATACTTTTCTTTAGATTATATAAAATTTCTATACTTCCGTAATTCCCCTCAAATTGGTACCAGAGCCTTGGTATGAAGCAAATTCATAAAGAGGTAAAAATTTTAAGAAAATTAATCTATTTGATTAATGAAGACATTTCTGAAATAAAGAAAACAAGAAATAATTTAAACTGTTTTAAAACAATTCAGTACTTAAATAATTTAAATGAAGAATTAAAAGATGAAAGACAAGTTTTAAATGAAAGGTTAAAATACATAGGATATATTGCAGCATGATAGATTGTCATAATTGTAGTACACAAATACTTATATTTACTTCTGAATATGAAGTTTATATTTTTCATAAAAATAATTACAATTATTTGTTACAAACAAATAAACCAAGAAATAAAATTGTTAAAGCAAAATTGAATGAAATTGATGCTTTACAAAAATATACATATAGTGTTAGAATTTTTATTCTACATTATATTGAATGTCATCATTAATTATGGAAGAAGAAAACCATAATAATGAACAAATGGAACAAAATGATGAGATCTATGAACAGATTGAATCACAAGAAAATTTCTCAAAAGAAATTATGATTTCAGATAAAAAGCTTGCTCAAATATGCAAGACTAAACTTGCAATTGAATCAAAAGAAATCTTTTCTCAAATAGGTTTCTTAGATAAGTTCATGAAAAGGAATAAACATATATACTATGGTGTATCTCAAAAAGAGTTCGCTGTACGTATACATATGGTAAGATAGGAATATCCTTACTTACTGAACAAGACATAAATAATGCAAAACAAAAGATAGATCTTGATAATAGCAAGAATCTATGTTGGGTTACAATTGGAGTAGTTCATATTCAAATACGAAGTACTCTATCTGAAAAGATTCATCAACCCATATCTGTGTTTGATTGATGAAAGAATACAAAATCCCAATGAAGGATGTTTAGGATCTCTTGAAGGGAACCTAGCATGTGGAAAAATAATTTTTACAGTTTATCCAAGACTTTCAGTAAGTCTACATGATAAAAACTTTGATGGAATACTTTCTTTTATAAATAAGTATGGAAGAACAGATCTAGTTAAAGACATTAATGTACGTTTTTCAATATCATATCTTGTTAGTTATTCAATACATAACCAACATAATATGGCAATTGTTAAAAAACCAAAAGGAATAAAAATTGATCCTTTATTTTCAGATTATCTGAAACATAAGGAAACATAATTTGAATGGTTAATCCAACCATCCAGAAAATTTTTGGAAATTAATCTTGTTGACCAAAGACCTTTGATAAAAGAGCAAAGACCACTTCTAATTAGAAGTTCATCTTTGAATAAAAGAATACCTCCAAGATGGAAGGAAGAAAATGAAGCTGAAACAAGCAGAGATAGACAATTAAAAGAATTAAGAGATATAGTCAATGAAATGGTTAAAACTCTTTATGGAGAAGAATAAAATGTCTATTTCAGATATTTTGAAAGAAATAAAAACTTAAAAGATAGTATTGAAGAAATTAAGTTATATCTTAAAAATCTTCAAGAAAATACAGAAAGATCTATGGAAAAACATTCTACTATAATCATAGTTGGTGTTAAGAATGAAAACCCCTTACAAAAGAAAAATCCAAAAATTTCTTTAGGAATTTTTGAAAAAATTGAAGACATTCAACCAAATAAATCTGAAGGAAATTTTGATATAAAATTTTTAAATTAATATGTCAAAATTTAGAAAAAATCGTGAAAACATTTATGAGACTAGCAATGATTTAGGACTCTTAAATATACTTCTTTCATTTGAAAATGAAGAATTACAAAAAATTGAGAATATTGTTAGAAAGATTAATATTGAAAACAATGAAAATCTTATGACAATAAAGTCTGACACTGAGGAATCAAAACCAAATGAATCCTTAAGTGAAAATGAAGAAATCTCTGAATCTGAAGAAGAAATCGTGATTCATGAAAGATTCTTTACTAATAGGGAACCTAAAACAGAACAAGGAATTAGAATTGAAGAACCTTCTAGTTCTAATCCTATAGGAGATGGAAAAAGGGTTGAAGGAGATTATAATCCAAGACCAATTCCCACAAATGAAGAAACAAATCAGAATTTATTACAATCTGAATTTGTTCCAAAAAGAAATAATCAACAAGAAGTTACAATTCTAGATTTAGATTGTACACTTGAACCAGAAAAGATTATTGATGCACGGTACAGTCATTTAATGATAGCTATGATCATTAATAAAGAAATAATCAAACATGAAGCAAACTCATGGAATTATGTCCTAGCAACTACCAGAGGTAATACTAGATCATTTTTAGAAAAATTTGATTATAATGTAAAAAACACTATATGGGCAGATTCTCAATATAGTATACCACAATTTGTTAAAAGAATTGTTGAACAATTGTATAAACAATTTGCTGGACAAACTTATGAAGTTTTTAAAAGTAAAAGAACAACAATTGAAATTGCTGATGCACTTAATCACTTAGAGAAAATAAATCTATGTGATATGTGTCACTTTGAAAATTATGTTTGTGAATTTTTAAAGTATTTCTACATTTGTCCTGAAAACAAATAGAGTGAATTAACAGAAAAATTTATTAGGAAACTTCTTGAACCTTTTAATCATGAGGTAATGAAACTTTTTAATAATGCTATAAGTAAACAAGAAAATCATATTGATCCCAAACTCAATTTAAAGATTGATGGATCTTTAGGATTGGTTGTAACACTTACTAGAAATCTTCTTGCAAATAAATGTAAGTATTTTAGTAAGAGACAGTAAATAAGCAATTATTAAAAATCCAAAATTCTGTTGTAAAAATTATCTCAAGTAGAATTTCAGGACAATATGGATGTTTACCATCTAAGAAAAAAGAAAAGAAGAGAAAATCTTTTAAAAAGAAAAAATATACTTTTAAAAAATATAAAAAACCATATCAAGAAAAAAATTTTAGAAGGAAATTTTTTTTTAAAAATCCCA